GATCACAGCAGCGATGTGCCAGTGAATTACAAGCTCAAAGAGAAGAACGTCTCTTAGATCTTCGTGAAAGAGATCATGAAAGAAGAGCATCAGAATCTGAAGAGCAAAAAGCTTAACGTAATTAAAAAATGAGGCAATATCGTAGAGGTTTAGTGCCCAATCAGCCACCTCCAGCTCCCTCACCAGAAAGTGTTCGTCAGCAACAGCTATCTAGAAAAGATCTCAAAAAATTGCAAAAAAAGATACGACTATCTCCAACCAGTGTTTGCTGTACATGCGAATGTTTGTGCTACCCAAAAGGTGTATCATTGGTTGATGTGAGTAAAGTGCATGATGTATTACAACAGCATTATCATGCGTGCATTAATGATACACAATTATCAGCCTTATTGCCAAAGAAGAAGTAAATGATAGTAATGTTCGTAGTAGATGTATGGCTTTTATTAAGAAAGGGAAAATTCCTCCATTTGCTACAATAAATAATATGCAATCCCACCTGAATTATCCTGTTTGACAACAATGGAACAGACTAATTTCAAGAGTGCAAGCCTTTATGAAACTAATAGTGTTGCCATTTGGTCAAAGAGCATTGGCTGGCCAGACCTTTAATTTTCCAGCAAATGTGTCTGAAGTATATAAGTCTTTGACTAGGCCACTCAATAGTGATGGAGTTGTGTTAGTTAAGCCACCGGAGAGCACAAATGCTACAGTCTCTGTTCCACCTGCTGATCAAACAGCCAGTACTAGTAGTGGGCCTGAGAGTGCTAGAGCTAGCACCAGTACAGAGCTTGTGCTAAAACTGCACAATCAAGCACATCTACTAGTACTAGAAACCTATTTGTAGTGAGGAAGCCATTGGTTGTTGATGCACTCAGATGGCTAAAAGATAATAATACTTTATATAATGATGTGAATATTGATGAATCTGTTATAGAAAGCCATGACTGTTTTGACAGTAATAATGAACCTGAGCATAGTACTAGCATTGAGCCTCCCCAATTTGAATGTTCAGTAGTCAGAACAAATCAGACTCTACCAAATTTAGAAGCCATTGACTTCATTAGAAATGGATCCTATAATAATCAAGTGCATCAGCTTCCTCGAGTAAGCGGCCAGCCAATAAATTTATACGAAGATAATAGCGCAGAAGAAATGGCATTTCCATGTCTATTTCTAAATGGAGTCAATGGTCTTCATAGAACATTTACTGACTATATTCAATCACGTTTACTTAATGCTGATAATCGCTGGTCTAGTAATATTCCATACTTACTATGGTCAGCAAATTTACTTGAAAAGGTGAGATTACGTGATTCTGTATCAATCGCAATGCGAATTACATCATCATCATGATTGGGTAGTCAAGGCGTATCACTGCTGGTGAATTGTGAAATGGAGATTTAGGTGAAAACCCAGAGCTTTCAGAGAATTCATATGCATTTATGTGAAATATACTTGGTTCCTCAGCATACTGGAACAAAGCAAAGCTTGATTTGTTTGTCATGTTTAGAATGCTGGGTCCACCTACTTTCTTTATCACATTAAGTGCACATAATATGAATTGGTTTGATTTAATGTGTGCACTTGCAAAATGTGATGGAACGAATCTTTGTGATGATGAAGTAAAAGAGCTGTCTACTTCGGAACGTAGAAGGTTGCTAAGTAGCTACCCAGTGATAGTAGCACATCATTTCTCTCATTGCTTTTGAGCTTTTATGAATCATATACTAAATGGTGCTAGTAAGCCTATAGGTGAAATAAAAGACTACTTTTGGAGAGTTGAGTTTCAACAAAGAGGCTCACCTCATATACATAGTCTATGGTGGGTCGAAATGCACCAGATATTAAGACAGTAGAAGGTAGAAGGAAAGCTCCGGGTTTCATTGATAATTATGTTAGTTGTCACGTACCAAAAGATGGTAAAGATGATGATTTAAAAGATTTAGTATTGCGATTACAAAAACATAATCATACACAAACGTGTAGAAAAAATGGACGTAATTGCTGCCGCTTTGATTACCCTAAGAGGCCAAGTGACAAAACTCGTCCCAAAAGAAATGCTGATGTTGAAATCAAAGCCCGTCTCTACATACGGAAACGTGAAGTAGGTACTGCGATGATAAATCCATATAATCCAGACCTACTAAAAGCATAGAGAGCTATGATGGACACTCAAGTTGTAGGAAATGTCAATGGAGCAGCAAAATATTTATGCCATTATATGTGTAAACATGAGCCAGAACAGATTAAACAACAGATAGCAAGAAAGCTTGATAAATTACCAGTTAATTGTACCCAGAGACACAAACTTTAAAAATTAGGAAACACTTTAAGTCACAGGATTCTCGGTGCTCAAGAGGCAGTATTTTGTACTACTGGCTTTCATTTAGAGGCTCTAGTCAATCATATATATTTATAAATACAAACAGACCAGAGAAAAGAGGAAGACTTTTTAAGTCAATTACAAAGCTAAGAGCTATGAGTACTGGAGATGATATTTTCAATCCTGGTCCATTAGATAGATATCAATCTCGTCCTGATGGAGAACCATTTGACAGTATGAGTCTAGCACACTTTTCTGTATTGTATAATGTTGCTGCTACAAATTATGAGCCAAAAAACTTCCTGTGCCCAACCTAGATATGAACTAAAGAATGGTATAGGAAAGATATATCTAAGACGAAAGCAAGCATGCTTGAGATTACCAACAATAACACAAGTCTCATGGTGATAGTTACTACTATCAGTTAATCTTTCTTTATCTCCCATGGAGAAATGAGACTCCTGATTTTATTGGAAATCATGGCTCTGCTCAAGCATCATTTATAGCACGTAAAGATAAATTACAAGTTTTAAGTACAGAACAGCACTCCTCTTTTGCTGATGAAGTACAAAGAGCGACAGACCCATTACGTGTACTAAATCAATGTGGCGATGCTGTGTACACTCCTGTTGCTCCTTGTACTTCACACGTAAATTTCGAAAATAATAATGAAGGTGATGGTCATGATCCAATATATGACCATGAACTATACCTTGATAATTTAGCTGCATTACTAGCTGATGATAATAATGATCATCAAAATCTATGCGGTCAAAATATAGAACAAAATATTGGTGACATGGAAGATACATTGACTTTAGACTCTATCTCAAGGCACCGCTTTTCAGACTCAGAGTTTGAAGCAAGTATAGCAAGTCTTGATGATTCCCAGAAAGTCCCTTATGAGAAGGTCCTTGAGTATTCAAGAGCAGTACATGATTTTCAAATGAGGACCAGACAGTCAATGCCCAGCCATTTTCGTATGTTTATAACAGGTGGTGCTGGAACTGGTAAAAGCCATGTAATAAGTGTCATCAAAAAGCATTTAGAAAGAGCTCATATTGGTGCTGGAAATGCTTGTGTTTTATTGGCACCAACTGGTGTTGCAGCGTTTAATATTGGTGGATTAACTATTCACCAGGCTCTCAATCTTCCTGTAGAGCATGGAAACTCCACCACCGACAAAAAGCTTGTAGCTGAGAGATTAAAGGATCTTAGACAATCATGGAAAAATGTGAACACCATAATAATAGATGAGATAACTATGGTCTCACACTTAACAATGTCCTTCATTCACAAGAGGCTAACTGAAATTAAAGGAACTGATGACACTGACGTTCTCCTTGGAGGACTGAATGTCATTGCAGTAGGTGACTTCTTTCAGTTGCCACCAGTGAGGGACAAATTTGTATTTCAAGATGGCAGAGGCTATAATCCAGGCTCAACACACATGTGGAGGGATGAGTTCAAACTAATAGAACTAACTCAAAATATGAGACAAAGAGGAGACACAGAATATTCAGATATTCTCAACCGTGTCAGAACTGGTTCTCAGACAAAGTCTGACATAAGTGTACTCTGATCGAGATTGACAAGTGTAATCAGGGATCCCATTGATGTCAGTCAACCTCCATTTGTTGATGCATTACGCCTAATGCCTTTAAAAGAACAAGTAGAAGAATATAATGACAGTAGATTGAAAGACTTATCACACTCTACTAAAATATATGAATTTGATGCAGAGCATTCAATAGTAGAGTCAACAACACTGATTCCTGGTGTAGTATCACATGAAGTCCCAGAGTCACTCATATCTTCCAATAATAGAGATTGTGCTGGCTTATCACGTAAAGTGAAGTTAGCCATAGCAGCACAGGTTATGTTATGATGTAACATTATATGAGGAAGGATTAGTAAATGGAGCTAGAGGAATAATTGTTGGTTTCTCTTGGCCAAATGGAGCTGATGATCAAGCAAAGAAAGGGGACTTACCACAAAAAGTATATGTAAAATTTCATGACCCACGTGTAGGTCTGGTGAGCCGTGTCACAATTGATGATTCGTCTGAACAAGAAGCTGTCCCAATAGAACCAGTCATGGCCAAGTTTTATGGCAAGCAAGGAGTAACATTACAGCATACGCAGTTACCATTACTACCTTGCTGGGCAGCTACTATACATGAAGTTCTGGGTCTATGTCTTGATGCTGCAGTAATTGATTTAGGTCCTAAAATGTTTGAAGATAGAATGGCATATGTTGCCTTAAGTAGAGTAAGAACACTCCAAGGAGTTGCTCTACTAGGACTAGTCGAAAAGAAAATCACATCATCAACAGTAGCAAATGATGAAATGGATAGACTAAGGAACCATAGATTATAAATGATGATGTGTCTTCTGGGATAGTCAAGAGAAAATGTACTAATACAAATTAAAACCACAAAAGTGTTGTGGTCTATATTATAGTATAATACGCAACTCTTGACTCTATTCATAAATATTATTATTGGAATGGAGATTGGGGATGGATGGTGGGCCCAGAAGTAAAATCTCACTCTTGCTTTAAGTATTGAGTGAAGATACAATTAATAAAATCCAGCTCTTTAGAGTGGATTTTAGCATCAGAACTTGTAATATTAGTGATGGTTACATCATAAACAATAGGTGTACCTATATAAGAAATGAATAAAATGTGACTCTTGCTCTTGCTTTAAGTATTGAGTGAAGATACCATTACTAAAATCCAGCTCTTTAGGGTGGATTTTAGCATCAGTAATTGTAATATTAGTAAAATCTCACTCTTGCTTTAAGTATTGAGTAAAGATACCATTAATAAAATCCAGCTCTTTAGAGTGGATAATACAATTGAATAATTTAAATAATATTCATGATTTGAGCGTATATTTACAATAGATGTATTATGATTATGTTTGTATTGTATGTATGTACTGTACATGCATTATGCATTGGATGTTTTAAAAATGTAAAGTATATGAATGTGTTTAGCTTTGTATGTATGTACCAATACATTTATTGTGTTCCTTTGTATTATGTTTAATGTATATATAGTCTTGTATGCTTATGTGTCTTTGTACAATGCATGTATATGTCGTTCTCTCTCTCTATGAAAAAAATCTTGCTGTTTGGAGTGATGATAAGATCAAAATAATCTCTCTTTTTGGAGTGATGATAAGATCAATAAAACCACGCTCTTTGGAGTGATGATTAGATCAATAAAATCACGCTCTTCGGAGTGATGATAAGATTAATATAATCTCCCTTTTCAGAGTGACCATAAGATCATTAAAATCACTCTTCGGAGTGATGATAAGATTAATTATGATCACGCTCTTTGGAGTGCTGATAATATCAATATAATCTCACTTTTCGGAATGATTATAAGATGAATAACATCACGCTCTTCGGAGTGATGACAAGATCAATAACAATCTCATTCTTCGGAGAGATGATAAGATTAATAATTAAGTACGATAATTATGTTTGTTTATGTATATTTGTGTTATGTGTTAGTACATATGTAGGTCTAACTGTGCATGCTTAAATTCATCATAAATAATAACAATCAATAATTATGATGCTAGGAATAATACAAGTGAGAATTAATACATGTGAGCGATAAACATACTGTGGTGAAAACAATCTTAGGAATTTTTTTACACTCATACACTTGTTTCAAATGAAATCTGTCTTGCCATTGTATGTGTTAGCATCATATTGACTGACATCATGTATTCTCACGAACTGGCTCACGGATAAGTGTCGTTATTCCTGCCCACCACGCAGGCAACTGTGCAAGGAAACAAAATAAAAAACCATATGCAAAAGGCTCGTTGGATTATCCATTAAAAAAACACCACCATCCAAGTGTAACTGCTCATCTTCCACCGTAATAACTGGTACTGAATGAACAGTTGCCCCTACAGCTTCCAAATGTAGCTTGCTACAGAGCATAACAAGTGTCTTGTGAAGATAGCTAAAGCGAGAATCCTTCTTATCTAAAAAATTGCATAAAATACCGTTCTCTCTAGAGATTTTATAGAGGCCAAAAAGAATGCTCTGTACACTCCAAGGAGGATATGGCTCCCCAGACTCTTGGCGAACCTCCATCACAAACTTGCTTAACCATTCACTTAATACTTGTGGGTCGTTTCAGGACAGGAGATCACAAGGAACGGCCTCAGATGGATCCTCTATCATTGCTCGAAACTGAATCCAATGATCTAAGATCTTCTGGGCCCATTCATGGATACAAAGGGTGTTTTTTGAAACAACTCCCTGAGCAGCAACATCTAAGGCTTCTTTTGAATAGTACAGAATGCGCTTGCTCCCAACTGTTGCTAGCGAAATAGATCTCTTCTTTCCTTTTCTAATCAAGCTGCTGCTGTCCGCCATTAGCACCAAGCCACGTGATAAATACTGCTAATCTTTGCTACAAGTCTTCTTTAAAACATTTAACACATGGGCGTGGTGTATTACTGGATTTATTTGCACTTGCTTCCGGTCTTGTTGACAAAAATTGCGCACTGGGGCCTTCAGTTCTTGTGCACTATTTCTGTCAACTTAAACGGAAGCTTGTGCGGATAAATCTAGTAATACACGCCACCCCATGTGTTAAATATTACTTAAATGTAATCCATTTAACGAGACAATGCAACGTATGCCATACCATGTACAGTAATAGCATAAGAAAGTATAAAGGGAAACTGTTTCCTTTGTATATGCATATTCTTTGATAGCATAAATCTAGATGTAACCCTTTCTATGTCACAAGGTACATCAATATGATCAAATTGAATTGATATACATGTAGCATAAATACCCATTACTATACTGATGGCACCATTAACTAATCTTACAGTCACATCAATATTACATGTTAGCATTACTCTACAGCCTACTGCTACTAGTCTGGTAACCAGCCCCCTGCAAAACATGCGTAGGGTCTGGTATCACACCCATATAGCATTGGTTCCTGTGCAATGCGGATGTCACGTGATATTTTGATAGGCGTTGCTATAGCGATTTAGTAACTATGCAATAAAATGTGTTG